AACCAGCGCTGAAATGATGACATGCGGATATACATGTCATCAATGATCAGATTGGGGAGGGGCCCAGAGAAGATTACGGTGTCCGACATTGTTTTAGCATAACTACACACCGACTCCACATTAAGTTTGGTGCATTCTGATTGGCATACACGAACATCATTACCACCGACGTGAATAACACGTTATTTTTAGCCAGCAGTTTAAGATGCGCCTCAACATCGCCCGCTCTGGCCCCCGGAATGCATGTGACTGTGGAGGCTTCGGTCTCTAAATGCACGTGTCTCATAATAGAGCAACCAATAACCAGAGTTGGCTTCTCAGCGGGTGTCTCGCTGAGTGGGGAATATCTGTTAGATACGTGAATGGGTTGTGGGGACCTGCGGGTTTCGCGTTATGCCCCTTCTGAACAGTCACCCAGTCTCCCTGCTGCTCGGGAGTTGCCGGGGGACGGCTAATAGGAGATACCTTTTACCAGTCCGCACCGGCTACCATGGGCTTTACTGTAGCTGAGTTACTTTCTAAGATGCGGAGCCGGGCTTCTATGGCTATGATTCCCGCCTCCAACCTAACAACTATACTACATTTAACACATGTATCGGTACCAGTAAAGGAGGTAGGGAAGTAACCAAACATGAGACCGGTAGAGCAGGAAATAGCACCCGAGGGTGACTAAGGTCCAAAAGGTTAAACCTCGTATTATCATTAAGAGAGACATAAAACATTTTGTGGAGCAGGGTTTTGTTCATGATCTGTTTGGGTTTGATTGGGGAAAAATCGATTTGTGTGCTGATGTTGAGACTGCATGGTCTTATTTTTATCTTGGTTTTATGGAAATTATAGATAGACATGCACCCCTGCGTACATTTAGAGTAAAGGGACGAGACAATCCTTGGTTTTCTGCTGAATTATCTAGTCTCCTTCATGAGAGAAACAAGGCCTGGGCAAAGGCTAGGAAATCAGGCTCAGAGGTAGAGTGGCTGCGTTTTAGGCAGCTAAGAAATAGCTTCACTTCAAATGTCAAAAGTGCTAAATCAAAGTACTATCTGTCAGTTACCACAAAGAACCTGAACAACCCTAGAAAATTCTGGAAAGCCATAAAATCGATATCCACCGGTGATATCCGTAATGAGCTACCTCCGTGCCTCACCACAGCATCTGGCTCTATATCGGACAGGGCTACTATGCTAAATTGCTTTTATGAGCATTTTGTGTCCTGTGGCTCTCTGTTTCATTCTGTCACTAACTCTGCTTCTGCTTCTGTGAACACCACAGTCGGTGACTCAGAACAATGTGGTCTGGAAAACCCTTTCAGTTTTACTCCTTTTACTGTTGATGTTGTTCGTGAAGTCTTAACCAAGTTAGATCCTAAGAAACCGGCTGGCCCGGACAACGTAGAACCTTTCTTTTTAAAGATAGCTGCAGATTGTATTGCTCCACCTCTCACTTCTCTTTTTAACCTCTCCCTCAGCACGAACACAATTCCAAAAGTATGGAAGTCAGCGTATGTCCTGCCTTTGCTAAAAGGAGGGGAGGCCACTTTATTAAATAACTATAGGCCAATCTCTAAGTTGTCAGTTCTGGCTAAGGTGCTCGAACGCTTAGTGAGTGAACAGGTAAAGGTGTTTTTATGTAACAATGACATCCTGTCTAAACATCAGTCAGGCTTCAGAAAGCAACACAGCACCATCACTGCCACAATGAAAGTGGTGAATGATATTACAAGTATTTTGGATAATAAGCAGAGTTGTGCAGCTCTATTTATTGACCTGTCCAAAGCGTTTTTGATACCGTCGATCATCACATGTTAAAGCAGAGGCTACTCAGTATCAGCATGTCCAGCCATGCAGTGGGTGGTTTGTGAACTACCTCTCTGAAAGGTCCCAATGTGTTCACTTTGATGGGCTGTCTTCTGAGTGGTTAAACATTGCTAATGGTGTTCCTCAAGGTTCTGTTTCAGGTCCACTTTTATTCTCCATATCAATAGTTTAGGTGAAAATGTGGATGAAGCTACTTTACATTTGTATGCGGATGATACCGTGATGTTCTGTGCAGGTCCCTCCATTCAGGAGGCTGCTGTTAAATTACAGGCTGTTTTTAACATTATTCAGACTCAGCTCTCTGAACTAAAGCTTCTTTTAAATGTTGATAAAACCAAGGTAATGCTCTTTTCTAAAGCTAAAGCTAAAAATACACCAGAGACTGCTTTGGATATTGTAACTACGCAAGGAATACAACTTGAAGTGGTTACCTGTTACAAATACCTTGGTATCTGGCTTGATGATTGTCTCTCTTTTAAACTTCATGTCAATAACCTGCTTAAAAAGCTGAGGGTTAGGCTAGGTTTCTTTTACAGGAACAAGTCCTGTTTCTCGCTTGAGGCCAGGAAAAGGCTCAGTGACCTTTTGACCTGTGCTGGACTCTGGTGATTTGATCTATATGAATGCACCTGCCAATTACCTGAGCAAGTTAGATGCTGCGTATCACAGTGCACTGAGATTTTTGACAAATTGTAAAGCACTTACGCATCACTGTACCCTGTATACCAAGGCGGTTATGCCATCACTTACTGTACGGAGGCTCAGTCACTGGTACTTTTTCATTTACAAAGCCATGTTGGATAAACTACCATCTTATATCTGCTCCCTGATCTCTCTGCGAATTGAAAGTACTTATTGCCTGAGATCGCATGCTGTGGTTTTATTAAATGTGCCAAGTGCTAGGACTGTCTTAGGGAAGAAAGCTTTTAGATGTGCAGCTCCACTAACATGGAACAGTCTGCAAAAAGAATGGAAAATTACCAAGCTAGTACCAATACATGTTTTTAAAGCTCGGTTGGATGCTACTCAATCAGATGCTGTTGGTACCTGTACATTTTGCTGTATGATGTTCTTTTGTTGTTCTGTTGTTTATGTTTTTATGTCTTCTTGTGGAACCTACTGCTGCAGGTTTCCCTTGAAAAAGAGATCATTGATCTCAATGGGATTTTACCTGGATAAATAAAGGTTTTGAATTGAATTGAATTGAACGAGCTGCATTAAAGAGCATTAGTTAGCGAGCTGCATTAAAGAGCATTAGTTAACAAGCTGCATTAAAGAGCATTAGTTAACGAGCTGCATTAAAGAGCATTAGTTAACGAGCTGCATTGATCAATCAATCAATCAATCAATGTTTATTTACATAGCCCAATATCACAAATGTTACATTTGTCTCAGTGGTCTTCACAGTGTGTACAGAATATTAGTATGACAATACGACACCCTCTGTCCTTAGACTCTCTGTCCTTAGACCCTCTGTCCTTAGACCCTCTGTCCTTCGACCCTCTGTCCTCAGACCCTCTGTCCTTAGACCCTCACATCGTACAAGGAAAAACTTCTGGAGAAAACCCACAGTTTAAAGGGAACATGGGAGAAACCTCAGGGAGAGCAACAGAGGAGGGATCCCTCTCCCAGGACGGACAGACGTGCAATAGATGCCGTGTGGAAATTGAAAAGATAATACATTTGCAACATAGGTAGTCCAAATGTTTGGAAATGCATGTGTGTGTAATAGGAAGATGAATCCACGAGGATATCCATCCAGGACCTATGATCCAGGACCACAGCCACAACTCAAGATCCAGGGCTCGCGATCCAGGACAGAGGAGCGCAGGATCATCCATGATTCCGGATCCCAGCGTATATAGACACCAAAAAGAAAGACATGTGGGGAAGCTGGGTTAATGGGAACATGAGAGTACACAGGTATAGACAGAGAGAAGGAAGAAGTAAGATGTCCCCCGACAAACTAAGCCTATATCAGCAAAACTAGGGGCTGAATCTAATCAGCCCTAACTATAAGCTTTATCAAAAAGGAAGGTCTTAAGCGCACTCTTAAAAACGGATAGGGTGTCTGCCGCCCGAACACAAACTGGAAACTGATTCCACAAATGTGGAGCTTGATAAGAAAAGGCTCTGGCTCCCATTGTACTTTTAGAGACTCTAGGAACAACCAACAACCCTGCATTCTTGGAACGCAATGCCCTAGTAGGACAGTAGGGTATAATGAGTTCTTTAAGGTAAGATGGCGCCTGCCCATTAAGGGCTTTGTAGGCGAGAAGAAGAATTTTAAATTCTCTCCTGTGTTCTATAGGGAGCCAGTGTAAGGCAGCCAGAACAGGAGTAATGTGGTCCCTCTTCCTAACTCTGGTTAGGACACGAGCTGCATTGACCAGCATTAGTTAACGAGCTGCATTGACCAGCATTAGTTAAGGAGTTGCGTTGACCAGCATTAGTTAACGAGCTGCATTAAAGAGCATTAGTTAACGAGCTGCATTGATGAACTTGAATTAACGAACTGTATTAATGAGCATTAGTTAACGAGCTGCATTGACCAGCTTGAGTTGACGCGTTAAGCAGGGTCAGCTGTTGTTGTGGACCTATCGGTTTCACAGAACATTGAATAAATTCAGTGTTCACTGTGATTTCAGGGAACGGGTAAAGGTCTGACCTCAGATCAATGACCGCGCTGAATAAATTCAGAAGACCAAAACACGGAACATCTGTTTCATCAAGTCAACATGTTGACAGTGAACGCACCTCAGCCTGTCAACATGTTCCTCGTTATTAGACATAAATATCAAACGTTGTACCATACATTTAAAGAGGTTTAAATAAACGTTCATTCTTTCTCCGGAATAAAGAATAACACGTTCACTTTGGATATCAATCCTGCAGTTCATTTAGAATAAATATTTGTATAAAGAGTTAATTATTATTAAATATGATTATAAAGAACCTTCTTAATAAATATTACAAGTCATATCTGAGTCAGATGAAAATGATGACGATGACCAAGGTCAGCTGGTGTTTGTTGGTCTCGGGTTCTCTGATGAATTTAAGCAGTGACTCTTCTTCTATAAAAACTGAAAAACTGAACGCAAACATCAGAGCAGCCTGAACCTGAACCAGAACCAGAACTGAACCAGAACTGAACCTGAACTGAACCTGAACTGAACCCAGACCATGGACCGAGGTAGGTTTTTATCTCTACCTGTCTCTCTCTCACCTGTCTCTCTCTCACCTGTCTCTCTCTCACCTGTCCTTCTCACCTGCCTCTCTCTCACCTGTCTCTCTCTCTCACCTGTCTGTCTCTCACCTGTCTCTCTCTCACCTGTCTGTCTCTCACCTGTCCTGTCTCACCTGTCTGTCAGTCATCCTCTTGCTGTCGCTGCTGTCAGTAGGCGTGTCCTCTCAGCCAATCACAGAGAGTCATCGTCTTTTCTCCATCGCTATGCTGCGAGTCCAAAACCTGCACCTGCTGTCCCACGAGCTCCTCTCTGAATTCGTAAGTGTGTGCTGAATTTGTCTTTGAAAATTGTAATGTGTTTGTTTGATAGATACGTTTTTTATTTGCAAAACAAAATGCATTAGTTTGTAGATGGTGTTTGTTAGTGACTCATAAGGAATTTGTAAAACTTGTTTATTTTGTTTGTGGAGTTATCGCAGGAAATTAGCTCCATACTGGACGCTGACTTTAAAATTCTAATCCATTACAAGTTCTTGTTCCCTGTACAATTGTAATCAGTGCCCTTATCTGAGTATCACAATACAATGTAATCTGATTACTTCTGGATTACCTCAACATCAAATGCATTGCGAATCAATTCAAGGGAAATAACACCAATCAGATGTTTTAATATGTTAAATACTAACAGTTAAATAGATTTTTTTTTTTTTAAAGTGAAAGGAGCTGAAATTTTAACCAAAAGTAACATTTGGGGATCTCCCTCTGATGATCTTTATCGATCTTTATTGATACCTCTTGATACTTACTAACAGTAATCTGATTACATTTGAGTGTGTGTTACTCTGTGTTATTGTGTGTTAGTGTCTATCCCATGTGTGTATTCCTGTGGTGTGTGTGTGTGTGTGTGTGTGTGTGTGTGTGGGTGTGTGTGTGTGGGTGTGTGTGTGTGTGTGTGTGTGTGTGTGTGTGTGTGTGTGTGTGTGTGTGTGTGTGTGTGTGTGTGTGTGTGTGTGTGTGTGTGTGTGTGTGTGTGTGTGTGTGTGTGTGTGTTGTGTGTGTGTGTGTGTGTGTGTGTGTGTGTGTGTGTGTGTGTGTGTGTGTGTGTGTGTGTGTGTGTGTGTGTGTGTGTGTGTGTGTGTGTGTTAGGAGCGCTCTCAGACGGAGGAGCAGCGTCAGGTCAACAAAATGTTTCTGCAGGATTTCTGCAACTCAGATTACATCATCAGCCCCATCGACAAACACGAGACACAACTCATATCTGTGAGTACACACACACACTGCGAGTACACACACACTGCGAGTACACACACACTGTGAGTACACACACACACACACACAGACTACATCGTCACACTACACACACACACTACACACTACACACTACACTTAAACCACGCACTACACACTACACACTACACTAAACTACATACTACACACACACTACAGATACACAAACACACACTACACACTTTAATAGACTGTATAGTTCCTCTTCAGCTCTCGCTTTGTTATGTGCTCTGATTGGCTCCAGGTGTGAGTGTGTTCTGTGCTCTGATTGGCTCCAGGTGTAAGTGTGTTCTGTGCTCTGATTGGCTGCAGGTGCTGAACCTGTTGTCCATCTCGCTCCGGTTGGTGGAGTCCTGGGAGTTTCCCAGTCGTTCCCTTCCGGTAGGATCCAGAAACCTGATTTCCCCCAAACTGACGGAGCTGAAGACGGGCATCCAGCTGCTGATGAAGGTGAGGAAACTCCTGAGTAATGTGATGTGATCTTAACGAGCAGCATGTGACTGAGCACCTGACCCTGTAGGCCAATCAGGACGCAGCAGAGATGTTTGCTGACGGCTCTCCACTGCCGCTCGCTCCGACCGGGAACTACTACCAGAGCAGCAGCATGAGGAGGACGTACGAGCTGCTGTCCTGCTTCAAGAAGGACATGCACAAGGTGAGCCATTACTGTAGGGTTTACTATAGGGTTTATACCCATAGGGTTTACTATAGGGTTTATACCCATAGGGTTTACTATAGGGTTTATACCCATAATGTGCATTACTATAGGGTTTATACCCATAGGGTTTACTGTAGGGTTTATACCCATAAGGTGCATTACTATAGGGTTTATACCCATAGGGTTTACTATAGGGTGTATACCCATAGGGTTTACTATAGGGTTTATACCCATAGGGTTTACTATAGGGTGTATACCCATAGGGTTTACTGTAGGGTTTACACCCATAGGGTTTACTATGGGGTTTATACCCATAGGGTTTACTGTAGGGTTTACACCCATAGGGTTTCCTATAGGGTTTACACCCATATGGTTTACTATAGGGTTTATACCCATAGGGTTTATTATAGGGTTTATACCCATAGGGTTTGCTGTAGGGTTTACACCCATAGGGTTTACTATAGGGTTTACACCCATAGGGTTTACTATAGGGTTTATACCCATAGGGTTAATTATTATAGGGTTTACTATAGGGTTTATACCGATAGGGTTTACTATAGGGTTTACACCCATAGGGTTTACTATAGGGTTTATACCCATAGGGTTTATACCCATAGGGTTTATACCCATAGGGTTTACTATAGGGTGTATACCCATAAGGTTCATTACTATAGGGTTTATACCCATAGGGTTTACTATAGGGTTTACACCCATAGGGTTTACTATAGGGTTTATACCCATAGGGTTTACTGTAGGGTTTACACCCATAGGGTTTACTATAGGGTTTATACCCATAGGGTTTACTATAGGGTTTACACCCATAGGGTTTACTATAGGGTTTATACCCATAGGGTTTACTATAGGGTTTATACCCATAGGGTTTTCTATAGGGTTTATACCCATAGGGTTTACTATAGGGTGTACTATAGGGTTTATACCCATAGGGTTTATACCCATAGGGTTTAATATAGGGTGTATACCCTTAAGGTTCATTAATATAGGGTTTATACCCATAGGGTTTATACCCATAGCGTTTACCATAGGGTTTATACCCACAAGGTGCATTACTATAGGGTTTATACCCATAGGGTTTACTATAGGGTGTATACCCATAGGGTTTACTATAGGTTGTATACCCATACGTTTCATTATAGGGTTTACTATAGGGTTTATACCCATAGGGTTTGCTGTAGGGTTTATACCCATAGGGTTTACAATAGGGTTTATACCCATAGGGTTTACTATAGGGTTTATACCCATAGGGTTTGCTGTAGGGTTTATACCCATAGGGTTTGCTGTAGGGTTTATACCCATAGGGTTTACTATAGGGTGTATACCCATAGGGTTTACTAAAGGGTTTATACCCATAGGGTTTACTGTAGGGTTTATACCCATAGGGTTTACTATAGGGTTTATACCCATAAGGTTAATTATTATAGGGTTTATACACATAGGGTTTACTATAGGGTTTATACCCATAGGGTTTACTAAAGGGTTTATACCCATAGGGTTTACTGTAGGGTTTATACCCATAGGGTTTACTGTAGGGTTTATACCCATAGGGTTTACTGTAGGGTTTATACCCATAGGGTTTACTGTAGGGTGTATACCCATAAGGTTCATTATTATAGGGTTTATACACATAGGGTTTACTATGGGGTGTATACCCATAGGGTTTACTAAAGGGTTTATACCCATAAGGTTCATTATTATAGGGTTTATACACATAGGGTTTACTTTAGGGTTTATACCCATAGGGTTTACTATAGGGTTTATTATTACTACAAGCAGAGCAGCAGCATGAGGAGAACCTACGAGCTGCTGCCTACTTCAAGAAGGACATGCGAGCCATTCGGATACACTGGAGTCATTACTATAGGGTTTATTATTATTATAGGGTATAGGGTTTATTACTATAGGCTTTATTACTATAGGGTTTATTCAGAAACACTGGGAGAACTGGCAGCATTACTGCATGAAACCGCATCAGGACTCTGATCAAAAGTGTCACACCTGGATTAGATTCCTGACTTTACACCTGTGATTCTCTCCTGGGAGAGGTGACTTCCTGACCCCCATGATGTTCTTGTTGCAGGTGGAGACCTACCTGTCCGTGGTCAAATGTCGACTCTTTCCAGAGACCAACTGCACCTCGTAGTCCAGCCCACAACACAGAAACCCACCTCTAAATGTGTAGCCACGCCCACAACACGGAAACCCACATCTAAATGCATAGCCCTGCCCCTCGATGTGTAGCCCCGCCCATAACACGAAAACCCACCTCTAAATGCATAGCCCTGCCCCTCGATGTGTAGCCCCGCCCATAACACGAAAACCCACCTCTAAATGTGTAGCCTCGCCCCTCAACGTGTAGCCTCGCCTCTCTGCTTAATAACGATATTATTATAATTAGCCTCTGTTCAGTGATTGGTTGAAGAAGGTCGTGTTTCTGATGACTAAATGTGCTTGACAGTTATACAGGAAGTGCTGAATGTTTTGAATAAAGTTTGTGCTGTGTTGCATTCAGAGTCGTGTCAATGATTCATGTTTAATTATCTGTCAAATAATTTCCATATTTGGAATAAATAAATGTTACTGTCTATCTGATTATTCTGTGATGCTTCACTGCCTCTGATTATATAGTGAATAATAATACATTAATAAACACCTCATCATCATATATTATAAATACACTGAACACAGGGGTAGACATTAAGGGTAAAATTCCACTGGCCCGGAGCATTCGTCCAAAAAAATTGACTAATAATGAAGAAAATGAACACATTTGTTGCAATAGTAAATTATGCACAAACTAAATTACTACTTGTATTACAACATTTGAATAATCAGTTCTTCCTCATTTTCCTCAATTGTTCATATTTGGTTTATTAAAGATAATTATATTGTGGTCATTGTTAAAAAATGTCTGCTATAATCATTCGGGATGCTCACCAAAATGGCTTCACCAGTCTGGCAGTATTTTAAGGTGCAGCATGGTTCGCACACGTGGAGGTACACTTTGCCTGCCGACAGGTCCGCGATGGGGACCTGAAATATTTCACGTGGTAGCAGCGCTGGGGAGCTCCACGTCGTCCAGGTTGGTTGGATTTATCGCAGACCCCCACGCCATGGCAAATATGAGGCGATTAAGACCCTTCTCCTTAATACATTTAGCTTATCTGCTAAGGAGAGGGCCCGCCAGATTCTTGACATTCAAGGGCTAGGACAGGGGTTACCAAACTTTGCCATGCCAAGGACCCCCATATAGCATTATCCTCTGGGACCCCCCTGTTGCAATTTTTTTTTTAAATGATGAGTACATGATGAAAATGCTGAATCTGTTGGGAGGGGAGAATCCCCGGATTTTGTTTATGGAGACGTTCCTGTGCCACTTGCCTTCCCGGGTTCAGACGGCGCTAGCCAACATGTCCATTACTGAACCCCACGCCTTGGCTGAAGAGGCCGACCGTTTTTTCCTGGCTACCCAGCGACCCCTCACCAGTTAAGAAGGCTTGGGGGGGGGGCTGGCCGCGACGGTGCCAAGCCGGCGTGGGGACACAGGAGAGTGATCTTACCACGCGCGGTTCGGGGCCAGGGCGAAGAAGTGCATCGCTCCCTGCAGTTATAAACCTCCGGGAAACGGGAGAGCCGGCGCTAAGTAGTGGCCCAGAGCGTTGGTGGCACGAGCAGGCTTCTCTTCGTTAGCGACAGTGTCTCGGGAAGCTTGTTTCTTTGTGACACGGCGCTCAACGGAGTGTTGTTCCTGCGTCGAGGGAGGACGTCGCTCAAGGGGGACACGGACCGCGGTTGACGACGGCTAATGGCGTCCCCATCCGCACATACAGCGTGAGGCCTATGTGTTTGTGTATTGGAGGACAGCGGTTCAACTGGGATTTTGTGACGACAGACTCTTATTTTTCCCTCCTCGGGGCAGATTTTTTATGTGCTCACGGACTCCTGGTTGACGTTAAAAATAAACGCTTGGTTGATTCCTTGACGTTTTCCTCCCTTGTGTGTACGCTTTGCAAGGCGGCGTACGACGGGCTGTTGGGGGCGGACAGTTTTCTCAGGCTGTTGGCTGAATTTCCAGACCTGACGCTACCCACCTTCTCTGCGCTCACCACCAAGCATGGGGTGGAGCACCACATCACCACCGAAGGTCCCCCAATCTACGCCAGGGCCCGGCGGTTGAACCCTTCTAAGCTTGCAGTAGCGAGGACGGAGTTTTCAACCATGGAACGACTGGGTCTGAAAGTCCTTGGGCCTCTCCTCTACACGTCGTTCCCAAGCCGAACAGCGGTTAGGTTAACCCTCAACGACGCCACAACACCTGACCGCTACCCGATGCCGCACATTCAGGACTTTTCAGCGCATCTGGCGCCTGATGGATTCTGTGCTGCGGGCCTTGCAGTTTGTGTTCGTCTACCTGGATGACATACTCGTCGCCAGCGCTTCGGTGGGACACAAAGAGTGAGGGTGAATGGGACCTTATCTGATCAAGTCAGCTCCTCCACTGGCTCCCCACAAGGATGTGTCCTTTCACCACTATTATTTATACTTTACACTAATATGTGTCAAAGTAGGTGGGAAAATAGGACTATTTTAAAGTATGCAGATGACTCTTTAATTGTTAGTAGGCTCCAGGACAATTAGACCAGGCACGGCCCTGTCATTGACGACTTTGTCAGGTGGTGTGAGAAGTCCTATCTACAACTGAACATAAGCAAAACCAAGGACATGATCATTGATTTTAGAAGACATCCCCAAATACATGAAGTCTTAACGATCCAGAACAGAAAGTAGAATTTCTGCAATCATACAAATATCTCGGGACAATTATTGACTCAAAATTGAGCTCTGATCCAAACTGTGAAGCTGTGTGCAAAAGGGGGCACCAGCGTTTGTACTGTCTTAAGAAATTGTCCTATTTTAACATTGACAAAACCATGATGATCATGTTTTATCGTGCTTTTATCGAGTCAATTCTGTCTTTTTCACTAATGTCATGGTTTGGTAACCTGACTTTAAAGAGCAGGAACTCTCTGAGTCAGATCATAAAGTGGTCCAGCAGACTGATTGATGAGCCACAGCTAAACCTGGAGACCCTGTACCTCAGGCAGTTACAGCGGTTATCCAGCTCCATATTAGACGATGACTCCCACCCTCTGCACTCAGAGTTCAAGCTTCTTCCTTCGGGCCAGAGGTTACTTGTCCCAAGGAGTAGAACGAAGCGGTATAAAAACAGTTTTATCCCAGCAGCTATAGCACAAATTAACACATCATAGGAGCGTCACACAGATGCCTATTTTTATTTTTTTATTATTAGGGCGCCATGTGCTAGGACCCAACGGCGTCCTAGCACGAAGTGCGAGGAAACCTATTGTTATTGGTGGAATTATTATTTTTCTGCTGGCGTTCCTGTTTTTGAGGCCTTTAGGATGCTTCAAAAGTTGTATAATTATACACGGACGCAATATTCTGGAGTCAATGGGTTAAATATTCTAACCTGCTCACTTGCGCCACCTATCAAAAACCCATTTTGGAATACATTTACATTTGCACACATATCCGGGTGGACCTGCTCTACAAATAATCCTCTTACATTTTTTTTTATTGAAATTAGCATAATGTTCAAAACAGTTAAATATTCACTTAAATTTAAATTTTCAGTTTTTCAACACCAAACCTCGTATACAGCATCGGTGGAGGGTCAGACACATTACCGTAGAAAATGAGCATGTTAGGGAGACAAATATTGCTACCGTCAATCAAAACGTACTCGCAAAAAGGCGGGGCTTAAAAAGAAATGCTCATAACTCATCAACAATGTATCCAAACATCACAGATTTTGGTAAATAGGTTCAGTTTGTCTTGGGAAATAGGCACACCAAAGCATTTTCATTTTGGACTATAGGGGGCGCCAAAAACACCACCAATTTATAACTCAAGAGCGGATGGACTCATTTTTTTTTATTTTTTTTTCACATACTCTCGGGGGTGACTATGAACTGAGATTTAAAGTATTGCAACAAATTCAGAATGTGGGCGTGGCCTATACATTTTTTTTAAATTGCGATAGCATAAAATGAGCTTCGGACGCAAAACTTGGGACACACGTCAGAGCCCACGACCTTTTCCAGAATGTAAAAAAAAAACCGTAATTTTTCAAAAAAACTGCTCACTAGCGCCCCCTATTGTGTGGTAGTCAGATATAGTTTCTCAGAACTTCACGAATTTTGGCACAGCCATTGCTCATGGAATTGCGGACATATTTGTAAATAGATTCCATTAGCCCTGCCCCCCACAAAGTTGGCCATTTTGAAAAATGCATTTTAAGCACATTCTTGCGAACTCCTCCTAGGGGAATGATCGGAAAAATTCCAATCCAGGACACGTTTAGCCCCTATCCAATATGATGCTAAATTGAGAAGAACATTTTTGATAGCTCAATCGTGGAGGTCGTAAGCTAACAGCGAATACACCATTTTTGACGATTTACATGTCGCAAATTACTCCAAACTACTCGGATATATTTATTCCGATATTCACGAAACGCTGTATACATATTGCTATTATGATTGCACACATATTTCAAATTGCCTTCCATTAGCCCCGCCCCCGAGGAAGTCGGCCATTTTGAAAAATGTGCGTTTTTCATGCATTTTAAGGACATTTCTGCAGACTCCTCCTAGGGAAATGATCAGAAAAATTCTAATCCAGGACAAGTTCAGCCCATTTCCAATGTGATGCTAAATTGCGAAGGAATAATCGATCGCTCAAATGATGAGCTCTTAAGCGAACGGAGAATGTTCCATTTTTGACGATTTACATGTCGCAAATTACTACAAACTACTCGCATATAGTTTTTCCGATATTCATGAAACGCTGTATACATATTGCTATTATGATTGCACACATATTTCAAATTGCTTTCCATTAGCCCCGCCCCCCAGGAAGTTGGCCATATTCAACAATGTGCCTTTTTCATGCATTTTAAGCACATTCCTGCGAACTCCTCCTAGGGAAAATATGGAAAAAAATTCCTATCCAGGAAAAATTCAGCCCATATCCAATGTGATGCTAAATTGTGAAGAAAATAGTTGCTAGCTCAATCGGGGAGGTCTTAAGCTAACAGCGAATACACCATTTTTGACGATTTACATGCCACAAATTACTCCAAATTACTCCAAACTACTCGCATATAGGTTTTCCAATATTCACGAAACGCGGTATACACATTGCTCTTATGAATCTGGACATATTTCAAATTGCCTTCCATTATCCCCGCCCCCAAAAAACTCGGCAATTTTCAAATATGTGCGTTTTTCATGCATTTTAAGCACATTTTTGCAAACTCCTCCTAGGGAAATGTTCGGAAAAATTCCAATCCAGGACAAGTTAAGCGCATATCCAATGTCATGCTACATTGAGAAAGAACAGTCCTTCGCTCAAACGGGGAGCTCGTAGGCTAACGGAGAATGTACAATTTTTTACCATTTATATGTCAGATAACCTACTGAGG